ATAAAACTGGTACTAGATGGCCCCCCCCTCCCCAACCTCCACCAAAAAAAAAAAAAAAAAAAAACACGCATGAAGAGATACAAACGTCTTTTGACCAACTCATACGACAGAAGGCCCAATGTGCTGGTCCGTTTCCCGCATAGGTCCAGAACCGCCACGTGGCTTTCAGAGGCCCCCTTTTCGGTTTTTTGCCCCTTGCATTTAAAGTTTATAATTATTATTTTCTTCTACATCACAACTTTGGGTCCTTTAAATATCCGAGAACGCAGAGACTACGCGATGGCTCTTTACAGATCCAATGGTACATATGTAGAAAACGTTCAAGAAAACAGCAACACCGTTGACAAGTAAAAAAAATTCCTTGAAAAATAATTTCACAAACACTCGGTAAAGACATTCTGCACACCAGTCCCAGATGAAACTATTACACGGGAAATAACCTTAACATGAAGATGTATTTTTGTGCACTGGCAAGACTGCGCTAAACTCAGTCTTCTCACACGAGCAGTTCAAAAATATGTACTGGAAATATCCAACGAACTCCAATAGCGAAAACTTATTTAAAAAAAAAAGAAAAATCAAATGACGTCATGATTGCTTCATCCAATTTCGAATATGGAAAAATTTCCAGGTGTGGACTTCGTGTCGATATTTTTTATTCAAGCCAGCAGTGTGTATTTGTTGTTTGAAGTTTTCATTTTTCAGATCGATGCTGTATTCGTGCGCGTGCGCTTCAGTGCTATCGATGGTATGCTAATTTAGTAGATGTGAACTGCGCTGTAACAGCTTGAGATTACATGACTGGCTGGTATCTATGTATGTGTGAGTGAACGGGGATTCCCCCTCACGACGGTGGTGGGGTTTGTGTGTGTGGGGGGGGGGGGGTGGGGGGGGAAAATTTTTTTTGGGTGGTGGGGTATGTAAGACCGACCACTCTATGTTCAAAACAACCGTGTCATTTCCTTGTGCCGCTGTGCACAAATGTTTCGCCGGAGGAGTCAAGTCTGATGTAAGACCGACCACTCTATGTTCAAAACAACCGTGTTATTTCCCTTGTGCCGCTGTGCACAAATGTTTAGCCGGAAGGGTAAAATATGTTCGCCATGTTTGTCTCCATGTTTAAAACCTACGCTGCGTGAATGGGAATGGAGGTCCAGAGCGTTTGAGAAGTGGACCAACGGCAGGATATTACGCCCGCCTCATCTCAGCTCAACGCGATGGACGGCAATGGAGGCAGCAGGTCTAAGTGACCAAAAGACCCCTTTCTTGCTCCCGCACGGAGACGGACTCTGAAAAGGTTTTCCCTAATAAAACGTGTCTCATCCAGCCTGGTTGGCCAGTCACGGTCAACCAAACAGTTACACAGCGGTAGGAATCAACCAAAAAAGAAAGACGAACGAGGATTGCATGTTGGCATTGTTGTCGCCGTTCCAACTGTTGGTGGTAACGATTTTACTCAGAGGAGATCTGCAATGACAACGATGATCCGGCTTGACATGCGGACATTGACGCCATTAACTAAATTCGAATGGCTGACGGATAACAAAACCGGATGTTCGGGCTGAATTCAGCGTGAACGTAGATGATCAAGTGTAAGCGTTGTGAGAAGGAAATCAATTGTTCAAAATCTACACAATCTCCCGCGTTAGAGCACCTTGACTACCCTGTCTGTATCGTCCTTGAACACGGGAAACGGAACGCATTGTCAAAAGATTTTAAAAACCCAATTTGAGGACAGTTGACAGGTTAAGTCCATGAAATAGACACGTTTCCTGCTACTGCTGGAGATTATCAACCTCTGGGCCATTCGTAATTTAGATGTCTGGCAATGAGTCATTTGTGTCAAGGAACATTGTTTGAACATGCAATTTCAGATTATTGGATGGAATGCCGCTCTAAAAGGGGATTGGAAATGAGGGATTACATCCCCTGGAAATAGCATGCTTCACACACTTGATCGTAGCATGACCCCCACTCCACTAAGTGACATCAGGAAATTTTGAGCAAAGCACCATGGGACTCTCTCTATCAGGAGACACGCAAATAGTTAAGGAGGATTCCATTGTAAGGATATCACAAATCGCGATAAAACTGGTACTAGATGGACCCCCCCTCTCCAACCTCCACCACAAAAAAAAAAAAAAACACGCATGAAGAGATACAAACGTCTTTTGACCAACTCATACGACAGAAGGCCCAATGTGCTGGTCCGTTTCCCGCATAGGTCCAGAACCGCCACGTGGCTTTCAGAGGCCCCCTTTTCGGTTTTTTGCCCCTTGCATTTAAAGTTTATAATTATTATTTTCTTCTACATCACAACTTTGGGTCCTTTAAATATCCGAGAACGCAGAGACTACGCGATGGCTCTTTACAGATCCAATGGTACATATGTAGAAAACGTTCAAGAAAACAGCAACACCGTTGACAAGTAAAAAAAATTCCTTGAAAAATAATTTCACAAACACTCGGTAAAGACATTCTGCACACCAGTCCCAGATGAAACTATTACACGGGAAATAACCTTAACATGAAGATGTATTTTTGTGCACTGGCAAGACTGCGCTAAACTCAGTCTTCTCACACGAGCAGTTCAAAAATATGTACTGGAAATATCCAACGAACTCCAATAGCGAAAACTTATTTAAAAAAAAAAGAAAAATCAAATGACGTCATGATTGCTTCATCCAATTTCGAATATGGAAAAATTTCCAGGTGTGGACTTCGTGTCGATATTTTTTATTCAAGCCAGCAGTGTGTANGTGGGGGGGGGGGGGGGTTAGGGGGGTAAATTTTTTCTAGGTTGTTGGGTTAGGGGGGGGGGAGATGAGTGACTATTATGTTGTCCAAAGTTTTTTTAAAATAAACGTAACGATTTTGGGGGATGTTTAAAAATAATAATTTTGATAATATTTTTTATGTAAATTATCAAATTTAAATATGAACAACACTGGTTGAATTTAACTGAAAATAATGCAATTCATGTTTGTTTGTCATAACATGTTCTTAACTACAAATCACGCTCAAAACAACAACAACAACAACAACAACACAACAACATCAACAGAAAAAGCACCAACAAAAACAGCTAACCCAAGAGAACAACAACAACATCAGCAGCAACAATTTTTTAAAGCAAATAGTAAATAAATTAGTTCAAATCATACGTTTTAAATTCGATTCAACTTCTTTGTTGGACAAGACTTAAACTAATAAAATCTCGAAAAAAGGATGCCAAAATAGTTTAAGAACCACTGTTTTGTGACGTAAACCCACTAAGTTATGCATGTGTAAAACCAGCTGTTTCAACGTTCGTGTGTGAGTGTGTCTGTATGACATTCACCCATAAGATCTCAATAAACATATTTTATGGCATCATGCTACTAACTGGTTTCTCTCCTAGAGCTAGCGAAGCGCAACAATTCCCATATTTTTACTATAATACTATCTTCTCTCCCGTCCCTTGACTACGTCATATATCTTTCTTCTCTCATTTCCTTCTGTGTTAAGATTTCCCCATTCATTAGAAATCAGTCAACCAGTATTTAAAAAAAATAATAATTTAAAAAATTAATATAGTTTAAGAAATTTAAGGATATCCACTTTCATTGCATGTCGTCTGTTGGTATTTGCCATCATTGACGACTAAAATAGAGAATGGCGCTAAAAAATGTATTTTTTCATTTCTTTTTTGCTGCAAATTATACAGAGAAGCAAAATTGCTATATTAACGATCTGTCCTATATTTTTCCAGAAATGTGAAATGTAAATGGTTGGGTTGGACGTTTGGCATGAAATGAGACCATGTTGGAACACTTCACTCACACAATCAATGGATATACATCAGTGGCTTTGAAAACTGGGGCAGCAGATGGTTCGCCATAGTTTTGTCACGATAACTAAAGCGTAAAAAAAAATTTTTTTTTTAATATTTAAAAGGCGTTGCTCTCTGCTAGGGGTGTACGTTGAGATGGTAGTAATTCGCCTCAGTTAGAGGGGAGTCGTTAATACTTACGGGGAAAAAAATAAAGACAGATACTTAGAACTATTCTATTTCAAAAGTTTGGTCTAATATTCATGAGTCTGACGGCGGCACAAGCATGGAGTCAATGTTGTACCAAAAATGTGTATTATTTTTTTAAAACTTATACCGCATTCGCCATGTGGTTTTTTTTTCCTGTTCTCTCATTCAAGCTTCCACATACCTCGTTTTGCTATTTCCTTCATTTACTAAGCTTGAATGCAGTCCTGTAATGTATAATTGCACACCTTCCCCACTTGATTGAAACAAAATACAGCGCAAGGCGAGGCTGCTACTCAAGGGGGATAACTCCTTAGTCATCTTTCAATGCGATGGTCGAACATTAATATAAACCCTAAGTGGTGGTCTATCGTCCCCACCTGGCCCCTCGTGAAATTTTGCCAGGGTACATCGAGAGTTCTTGAATCCTCCAATGCTTAAAGGAAATCACACAACACAAATAATAATTTTTATTTAAAAAAATGGCCTTGACGGAATACAATTTAAAAGATATTTTCATGAGTTTGTATGTTGTTTCAGTGAACTGAATTCTTAAACATGCGCAATTTTTCTCTAAACAACAAAGAAAACCAAACCCAATTGACTAGACGGAGACGTCGGCTCCTTGCCCCCTTCTTACTTACCCAAGTACAGGTATAATACACGAGAGCCAAATGTACTACCGGGACTCAAATATTAGTAAAACAACTTTTTCAGTAACTTGCTTGTCTCAGATTGCATTTACTGCAACATTCTACGCTTCTGCGACCTAAGAACATTACCCACACCTATTTATAGAAGCACTTGGGCACCACGCACGCTATTTCCGCACCACCCATTCTATTTATAACGCTCGGCCATCTTTGCTTGATGACGTAAATAACAAAGTTCGTGACGACGCAAGTAGCGACAGCACACATTCATCTCCTCCCATACAAATGTCGGCGCTTATGTTACCGACGGGAGATTAAAACTTACTTTCAAGCCCTTCAACGTACAGAACACTTTCTATTTAACCTCGCCAAGAGTCTGGTTTTGTATTCTGCATCAGCTTGATCCGAAAAAAAAAACAACAAACAAGCAAACCCTGAGCTTGGGACGAGATTTCAATAGTAACATCATCACCGCTTGGTTGTCATGTCCCAAAAACCCACGTGCACGAACAAAGACTGTGGTCTGCCAGATGAGCGGACGTTCAACCTGAAGGTGGAGGAATATGTCCGGCCGCCCTGTGTTTCAGTGCTGCCGCCATGTGGGATCAAAGTTCGCAGCCCAGAACCGGAACCCGACATGCCGCTGTCGCCGTGCCCGGCCCCCAATCTACCCCCGTGTCGTTGGAAACGTATACCAGACGATGATTGCATTGTAGTCGACTCCAAGCCCAGAGCGTAAGTGAAGCGTTAATGTTTTGTTATTTACTCCATTTTTGTTTAAAATGCAGTCGGTCTACGGTGAGTACAAACTACAATGTTATTTACCCTTTTTGTTAAAATGCAGTTGGTCTACGGTGAGTACAAAGTACAATGTTATTTACTCGCTTTTGTTAAAATGCAGTCGGTCTACGGTGAGTACAAAGTACAGTGTTGGATTCTGAGAGACGTCGAGACCGCAGATGGTCGTACTTTACAGAACGTTTGATCCAATTTGTCAGATGCAAACGTTCAATGCGATGCAGTATGCCCACGTTATACCCTGGTCATGCCTGGCACTTCAATTTGTTTTACAGATGCCAGGCACACTGAGAATAAAATTAGAAACATTTTCAGTCTTAGTTTAAAATACCATATGTAGATACATATATATTCTCAGACGATGGTATTTTGAAAAGGTCACGGTAAGGGGTTCGATGTAGCAACCTCTTCCAATAACCCTCTTTTGGGGGGGGGGGGCGCTGCGATAGCCATGGGCGACACCCATTTCCACAGTAGCCCCAACCAGAGTATTAAATTTTATGATCTACGTAGCTTGTTACATATATATTCTCAGACGATGGTATTTTGAAAAGGTCACGGTAAGGGGTTCGATGTAGCAACCTCTTCCAATAACCCTCTTTTGGGGGGGGGGGGCGCTGAGATAGCCATGGGCGACAACCATTTCCACAGTAGCCCCAATCAGAGTATTAAATTTTATGATCTACGTAGCTTGGTGAAGCCCCCTGCCCCCCCCCCAAGCCCAAACCCACCACCCCCTTTTTTCCAAAAAAAATAGGTCTTAATCTTGAATAAGTTTCTCCGGGTCAAAATGTCTTGATGCAAATCTTCCACGCCTGCAGGAACTATGGTCTTTCGATCCAACATTTGGTAACTCTATAGTTTGACGTTTTGCTTTTAGATTAGACCTTTGCCTTTTCCCCCCTCTCACATCTTACTTGAAATTGCGTGATGTTCGCCAACCTGTCTTCCCCTAATATGTAACTGTAACTCCCCTAATATGTAACTGTAACTCCCCTAATATGTAACTGTAATGTTCGTGGTTGACTCTCTCTCTATCACAGGGACTACTACAACAGACTTAAAAAGTCAACGTCAGATAACATGAGGAAAAAACCGACAGCTTTTGATAAAGGAGCGCCCAAAAAAGACAAGCAAGGTTAGTGAACAGCCGGTAATGAAACTAGTGACCAGGGTCAGATCTGTTCAAACCGAACCAGTCCATGATCAGGGGCGTAGGTGACCTTGAAAGTGGGGGGGGGGCTCCAACCTGAGCCATCCCTGGAGCTATAAACTGCTGAGCTTTACCGCAGAAAAAACTTTTTCGATGCCAGCAGGGGACCCTGGGATCCCACCTCAGCGGCCAGCTACGCCCCTGTCTATGATCCATGCTGAAGTTGTTTTTCTTTTTTTCAACCGAATATAAGTCAGTGTTGTAATGGTCAATAATGGCCTTCGTTTTGGAACAGGAAACTTTATAGTTGAAAAATACAAGCTAAGAGAGCTTAGAAAATAATAAAGGCATGGGCAGCATTAGATTGGTTTACATTAGTTTGGCTTAAATTAGTTTGGCTTAAATTAGTTTGGCTTACATTAGTTTGGCTTAAATTAGTTTGGTATTACATTAGTTTGGCTTTACATTAGTTTGGCTTAAATTAGTTTGGTATTACATTAGTTTGGCTTAAATTAGTTTGGTTTACATTAGTTTGGCTTTACATTGTTCGGTTTAAATTAGTTTGGTTCACATTCGTTAGATTTAAATTAGTTTGGTCTACATTAGGTTGACTTAACTTTACTTCAGCCTGTTCTCGTTCAGTCATTTTATTTTCAATTTAAAAGCTATCAACTCACTCCGGTCTCTTTAAGTTGAGAATCACTATAGGCGTGCTGGCATTGTGAGAATGCATTCATCTCAGCTTACACCAGATCATCCTAACTCAACTCAGGTTATCGTATCTCACCTCATATCATCATATCTTATCTCAGATCAACGTATCTCATCCTTTAGCACCTTAGATAATTCTATATCACCTTAGATAATCCTATCTCACCTCATATCATCCTACCTCATCTTGGATCAGCCTATCTCCCGTCAGACCATCATATCTCACTTCAGATCTCAACTCAGATCATCCTGCCTCAGATCAGATTTCACCTGACCACCCTGGCGTGGTGTTTGGTGCTTGCCATTTCTTCCAAGCACCCGCTAGGTTGTAGCTTCATTTGATTTTTTTTTATTGGAATCCACTTTATGGTATTCAACTTGTTTTTTTCTTCCCCCTTCTTTCTGTAGGCAAATAAGCAAGCTATTTTAACCTGACCGATCAACATGTGAGAATAGGCTGACCAATCAACACGCGAGAATGGGCTGACCAATCAACACGGAATTATAGGCTGACGACTGAAAAAGTGTAACTTCAAGACGATTTACGTGAAATCTTTCCCCACATTATCTTAGCTGGGCCGGTCCAGGTGTTACGCATACCTGAGTGAGACTTAAATCATGTTCTCTACCCTCTCCCCCCGTCTATAAAAAAAAACACGTATTTTTTTAAAATTTCCGGATCTTCGCTTAAACCATCTGTAAGGTTTCTCAAAGCTTTATAGTACATTCAAATGTGATCCCTGAATGGCGTTAACTTGGAGCAAGCAGTTTAATGTGTTGGACAATTATTTTTTATATCGAATTTTTTTGAAGTCTCGTATCCGGAAACCCCTGGGGTCGTCTGGTGCATGGACCGGCCTTGCTAGTTCTGAGCATCTTTTAAATTCGTTTTTTTGACATGTATTTCCTGACTGGAAGCACCAATAAACAGAACTACCGAAACAATCGGAGCTAAACAGAGTTGTTTGATTTTTTTGGAGGATGGCGATTGTGTGAAAGGAAATATGGTGATGAGAGGGGGGATAACTTAGATGCGCTGGGAAATAAATCTTGGGCAGGATTGTCTGACTTGAGGAAATCGTCACAAGAAGATGGATGATAACCCTTGCAGGTTGAATTAAAAACAATCTAAATTGTAAAGGGTGAACCTGATTTTTAAAAAAAACAAAAACAATTTTGGCCGTGTAGTAAACATAAATATAACACTTGGAAGGAAGATGAGAACATAAAATTACTACTTTAAAATAAATGCACATTAATGAAGTAAAGCCTGGACGGTTCGAAAATGAACATGCCTCTGGTGTTGTGAATGGTGAATGTCAATGTTTTCATGACTTTTGTTGTTGTTGTTGTCTGAGAATGTAAGTACCGGTATTGTGCAGTCTCGGTGCACACAACAATTTAACATAGAATCCTACAAACTTCCCCCATAAACACAGTTTTTAAAAAAAGTTTTTTTGACGCGTTACGAAAAGAAAATGTTTGAAACTAGATTTGTCTTTTAATTTGGCTTCAGTATGAGGAAGGCGTGCGTAGGTGGCACGTGCCTTTGACAGCTTCTTCAGAGGGCGCCAAACAGTAATTTTATACTGCTAAAAAATGTGTATTAATAAATTAAATACAGTTTTTTGAGATGTTGCACACTTTCCAGGCTTTGCACAGAGCGAAGCTTTAGCTTGCCAGGTTCAAGGCCCTATTTATAAATGCCTCAATACAATATTAATATTAATGTTGATTTGATCAATCTCAATCTCATTTGTTCAAAATTGGCCCATGTATTATCACTTGTATATATTTTGCTACTGGCGTGATTGCTTTCATTCATTTCGGGACGGCGCGCAAAGTGTGGCTCACGATAACGACGCTAAATGGTTTTTGTATTATTTCAATAACGCAACTGCGTTTGGTGCGTAATATTTTTGGTTTTCGAAAAATGAAATCGTCTAAATTTAAATCTGTTGTAAAAAATATTCGGTTTAAAAGTGGGTGGCACATCAGCAGAATATCACTATAGTTCATGTGCGTGAAATAAAAAAAGAAGTATTCTGAGGAGGGGGGGGGGGTGTGCGGGGGTAGCAAAAATTTGGATTCTAAAAAGTGACCACCAGTAACAGAAATTTACTTTAATGGTACTTCAAGTTTAATTCACCGCAATAATGTATCATTACTGCTAGTCAAACCTATGCAGCTATATCCGGTTTAATAAATACAACTGCTTCTGCAGACGCCATGAATTTTTTTTTTTTGGACAATTTCTGCATTAGTTCACGATAAAGCCAGTAGTAACAGAAACATTGCAAATCCCATCTACATGCATAGGAGCCAAAATGATCAATAAATTGATCGTGGGCCCTTAAGATATAGAAGAAGAAGAAGTGCGTTACATGTTTTATCAAGTAACTTTAGTAAATGGGAAGTTCACGCATTGTCATCGCCAATGTTTGGCGAGCTATAACTAGATATTATTATTATATTATATAAAAACAACAACAACAAAAATTCAAACAAGATTTATTTCCTGAATATATTCCTTGATAAAAGTACATCCTTTTATGAAGGAATCTCAATAATAGTGTGATGATGAGTTTTAAATTTTAAAAAAAAAAATATATATATATATATATTAAAAATGAGTCGAGGTATCTCAATTGATTTAAAAGGCTGCCTGGCGGATGACGCTGTAAGCCATGGACGCGTTGACCCCGAGCCCCACAAAGAAAGCCAAGGCTCGTGTGGGCTGCGGGATGGCGCACAGATAGAAAAACGAGTGGAGAAAACGGCTGATGGTGAACACTCGGAAATGAATGGCTGCAGTTGATTGGCTGGGACCGGTTGACACGTAGAGAAGCCCCAACAGCACAAACGGGATGACATTTTCAAGATCATTCAGATGACATCTGAGGAATTGGGGAAAAAATCACATGCCCTTATGGGATTTTTAGCATTATTTTATTTTTATACTTATACTAGCTACCTGCTACTGATAGCATAACGAATAATGTTAATAGCTCTTTGTTAATATCTATTATACTAATAGCCCACTATGTAAAAGGCTCTAGCTACGCTAATTGGGGTGGTAGGCTACAAATGTTGCCCCCCCCCCGGTGACACTAACCCTATCTACGACACTGGGTTTGGGTTAAATTGTAGACACATGGACAAGGAACTACAAGAGTTGATGAATGAAACACACACTAATATTTTGTTAGTAAGGTTACCTCCTGATTCTCTCCACATCCGGGTCGTTGGTGACAATTTGAACTCTTTTCCCGCCCAAACCGGTGTCTTCTTCATTAATGAACACCTGAGGGACAATTACAGCATATGACAAATTGAGGGGAAAAAAAACGATTGGGTTGATTCAGCGAAGTGGTTAAGTCCTGGGTACTTCAATTTTAATTCACCGCAACATTATTCTTATTCACACTTCAAATAAAACAAATTTTCTTTTGAATAAAACCTTTTCATTCAAACAAAAAGTATTACACATTATTTCACATTTCCACTAAAACACTTCACACTTCTAATAAAACAAATTATGTTATTTTGAATAAAACATATTTACTTCTTTAAAAGTCATCCTCTACTGTGGTGGCAAAAATTGGACAATATCGTCTAGAATGGCGTTTAAGACATTCAAACCATTTGCTTTAACACGTCGACGCCACATGAACTCACACATATAAGAATCGAGCAGACGTCTGTGTGTGCAATTGTGGCGCTTGTTTCTCGCTTTTGCCGATTTCCACGTACGTTCGATGCGTTGAGTATTGGCACCTGAGTTCGGATCCACAAAGTTAACGGAGTGATTGACCGTTCGATGAGTCAATCCCGAAGTGGTGCCAATTCCATTATATGGTCTCCATTGATTGGTCTGACATGACTGCTGTGCCCGGCCGGATGTGCGCTGTAATAATCGGCATACGTGTAGCTGCTGATCCATCTTGTACACAAAACATGAACACTCGCTAGTCTCCAAACATATGCCTCCCCCCCCCCCCCAAACCCATTGTTGGGGCTAAACTCGTCCGACGACGTGATTGTTTTCTGCGCGTAAACAGACTCTCGTCGAGTTCAACTTTAGTATCACATCTACCTATAATAACAGGCTTTTGTACAAGTGTATTATTAGCACATACCTCCCCTAGGTAATTAGTCCAATGTGAATTCACATGTCAATGTCCAACTCACATTCGCAAAATGTGATGATTGTCAGCTCTTTCGACCAGAAGTATATGAAAAGAATGACCCCTCAATAAGTAAGAGGTGAGCCCTGTAGCCATGAGGTATCCTGCCGAATCGGGATATCATTCCTGCAGTCTTAGCGTGGGGGCATCCCCGACGATCCTGTCGGTTATTCAAGGACGAAATCATGTTATGGTTGTTAGCACATCGTCTGACAGCATGTACAATACCGTGTTGTTGTAGAAGCAAGATACTACTGGCTTTATCGTGAACTAATGCAGAAATTGTCAAAAAAATTTCATGGCGTCTGCAGAAGCAGTTGTATTTATTAAACCGGATATAGCTGCATAGGTTTGACTAGCAGTAATGATACATTTTTGCGGTGAATTAAACTTGAAGTACCAGCTGTGTGGCTATCTCCCAAGAACCAGCCCCACAAACACACACACACACACATCGTAACATTTATTATCAAGGGTCGATTTACACATGTATTAAACAAGCAACTTAACACATACACAAAGTGGGTGCTAATCACCCCCCACATGCGGGCCGCCACATAGCTCGGTTACCGGAAATTTGTTTGAAAGAAATTTCGTCGACGGAAAATTGATCGACAGAAATTTGATCGAACGGAAACTTGGTCGAATCTTTTTTTTTTTTTTTTTTTCAGTTCACACGTTAAAA